TGTGCAACAAGAAGAGGGTTTAGTTATACTATTAATTTGTTCTCAATTTGAGTGTTGTCTGTCTTACGCCTGTATTCACAAAAAATTATGCTTGCTTAAGTGAAGCAGCAAATCGAACGCACAGCGTTGATTAGAGCTCAGAGATTGGTTCATGTGTCACCCTGTGCGTCCACGCGCACTGTGAGACCTCATAGTAATGTTTGTGAATACGGGCGTTAGTAACATTGATAAAGATATGAATAAAATGCTCTTGAAATCCTGTTTTACTTGTTAACTTGAGACACACTTGGGTACAATAAAACTGAAAAAAGGTAGTCTTCTTATTTGACTCTACATACAATACTATGACATAAATACTACATTTCTTGTTAATAAAGTAGGTACATAAGTACTTGTAGCTTTATAGTTTTTTTTTTATCCACAACGAGGAAGATGATTGCTTTATAAAAACTAAAATATTATTTATTGAATGAGGAAGTTCCTGGAAGTTATATTTGCTTAAATTATCTAAAATATAACAAAAATATCCTATACATTTCAACAGTTTAATCCGTGAGTCCGCCGCGCTCGTATTTTATTTTTCAAAGTATTATGATATCAATACAAAATTTTCCTGGAAAACTATGTTGATTCCGGGATTAAAGAGTAATCTGCAGATCTCTAGTGCAGTTTTATAGAATTAGAATTTGATAGGGTATTTTAATTTGAGAATTCGAAAGGCTTTTTAATATCTCCTGTATTTTTGATATTAGTTATTTTATTGAAGTGGCAATGGGCAGGGCACATAGTACCCAGAACTGACGGCCAATGAGGCAGCAAGGTTCTGGAGTGGAGGCCGCGTACTGGAAAACGCAGCGTGAGACGTCCACCCACAAGGTGGACCGACGACATCGTAAAGGTAGCAGGAAGGTGCTGGACGCAGGCCGCTACCCACCGGGCAACATGGAAATAATAGGGGGAGACCTATGTTCAGCAGCAGTGGACGACCTATGGCTAAGAAGATGATAATTATTTATTTTTTAAAATGGACTTCATAGACTTGTTCAATGCATTTTAGGCTTATCTACCTCTGAAGTCAGTGTAACGTTGTAATTTTGGGACACCCTGTATAATATTTGTTTTCCTACAGGAAATCTATTAAACCCAAAATCTTTGCTAGTTTACTGGGTAACATATCAATATTGTTGAACATGCTTACAATGGATACTATAATACCGTACAGAACAATGTGATCCCAATAGCTGCGAGGCATTTCTCTTGTCTGAATAGGGTTAAGACGTCGTAATCGTATCATATGTTTCTATGCGAAATTGAAAAGGCGTACCCTAAATCTGATACGAAATAAGGGGAGGCTTGAGAACTAAAACTATTTGCGATGGACCAAACTTAGAGGGTATTTGTTGAAATGGTGGATGTAGTTATTATGAGTACAATTTGGTTGAAATAATAAACTAAGTAAATAATATAGTAAAGTCCTAGTTTCAGCTTAATGCCGTCCACTGCTGGACAAAGGCGTCTTCACGGATGTCCACAATAACTAGTCCCGCATTGCCCGCATCCGATGAGATATAAAACCCTAGAAATTAATTATTTATAATAATATTATTATATTACACAGTTCTTCAGTTTGTATTTGAATTGAGAAAGGTTATTTTATCATATTAATTACCTTATTGCAGAGAAAGGAGCAGCTTCTACAATTCACTTCCGAGTCTTAAGAAAATAGTTTTAATATTACAAGGTGCAAGATAAGCAGCTTCCTTATAGGCTCGTAAGCGCATGCCTTCATGGTCCCATAGGTATGTAGTTATTACGGTCGCTATTATACAGCACAGTAAGTACTTAGCGTAACAACGTTTTAGGAAATTATTATCTTCATCCACTGAGTGTACTTACGTACCTACTTATATTACAGAACACTGAGAAAATTCAGATGCTTCGTAGCAAGGGAAGGCGCGTTATGGTCCTTTAAGACTATTGTGGTACAGCACATGTGGAGCCCAAAGCAGGGTAAGTAAAAAGCTATTTTTTGAGTGCAATTGAGTTTCTACAAAGGCTTATACAAAGTACCTACGGAGTTCATTGGCCTACAAAACCATTATTTTTCACATTGATCAAACGGCTTAAAACTGTATAACAGGACTGAGTCAGGATTTTTACTACATTTTGCCTTGACGCTGTCAAGGCAAAATGTAGTAAAAAGTTTAGATATATTATTTTTACGCAGATCTACTGAGAACCTTTGAAAAATACCTAATTTTAAATAAATATTTATAATTATTATGAATGTACCATTTTTTGTGACATACCGTGCTTCTCGATAAATTAATACGAGTATTAATCCATATATTAATACGGGTATGTCAACGTATTCCAGTTAAAAGCCTGATTAAATTTTCTCTGTGGCCCTCCCATTTACTCGTTGCGGCAGCTTAGAAGTATCCTCTATTCTTACTTTGAATAAATAATATGTGTAAAAGCTTTGAAACTGCTGTTATATTTTATCATGTTCCAAGCTGCAGCTTCAGTAAGCTAAATAGATGCAATGATCACTCCTAATACAAATTCTGTGCTTAGAATTTTATTTGGACATTTCTGTCTATTGGTTATTTTAGGGAGTTGTAAAAGTACTGTATACGATTTTACGGCTTTATGAGTTTGCACCACAGGGTGTTCTGTTTAACCCTTCATTTGGCAGTGATGCTTTTAAGCAACAACCACTTTGAATATTTCTACAGCACCAAATAATAAGTTTTGTGCAAATCATTCGATTTTGTTACAAAGCTTAGTTCAGCAAAACACTAGTAAATCGGTCGTCGACTGAGTTTTGAGTGATTTCATATTCATATTTCTGTCAGACGCCAAGATGACGCGCAATGAGAATAACAAAGACGGAAGTTTTATGATTTTGTACTATTTTATTATCTCTTATTTTTTTTGTTTTGTCTAAATTTAATTCATAATAAATCAAACTAATCATATAAAGCAATATTTGGCGTAGAAATTGTGTTTTCTAATACATGACATGCTTCCGAACCTCGATGTTGCCTAGAAGCAACAGTGCCAAACATCTAACAAAATAGGTTTAGCTTTTTGTTAATACAAAAGAGTGTCAATACACAATAAATCAATCATGTATTACATGAATAATGTTATAGAGATGGTATAGTAATTACTTTTGATGCAATTACGGACCCTGTCGGGCACAGCATTTTAGGAGAGAGGAAGAATTTGCTGTCTGTCTCTGTGTTGTTTGTCTTCACACTTATACCGCTGAACTGATTTAAATGATAAACACATTTTTCTTGCGTTGAAGTCAACAACTATAGCAGATAACGGTAACATACCAGTTTCAGAAGCTAAAGAGAAAATAAAAAGCCAACCTTGGCTCGGCATATTGATCGTGAAGTATGATGACATACGTCATCTATCAAATGTTGGAGAAAAAGGTCATTAATCGACTTTGCGAAAATGGCCAAAAAAAAGTTTAATGCATAAAATGTGAAATACGATTGTTTATAGCCATGTAAACTTAAATGTTCAGTCCATTTTTAACTTTTCGGAAAAGTTCAAAGCTGAATTAAAAAAAAACTAGATGATATTTGCCAGTAAATTTAGATTTGATGCAACCCTATATCAATGCACGTCAAAACAAAATATTTACTTTGAGGCTACGCTTAGTAGTTTTTTTTTAAATCGAAATTAAATGATGCGATTTGGGTATTTTGGTGAAATTACTAAAAAACTTAATATAAAAGTAGCCGCCTGACATGGAACGTGTTATGGGGGCTGAAAATATAGGAAATGACCCATTCTATCCGCCAAATCATTTTGGCACACGATGCGCCAAACACCCTGTATATTTAATTCATATTTTACGCCATAGTTGTAAATTCTATACAACTAAATAATTTTATTTCATATTTTACGCCATAGTTGTAAATTCTATACAACTAAACATTATTACTATACGACGACGTAACATGTAATTCATACTTTATGCCATAGTTGTAAATTCTATACAACAAGACATTTTGCCATATGGTAGGCCCGCTGGAGGGCCCAAAAGATAAGGAGACATGTAAAGTGCCCCATAAGGGCTACCTTTTCTTTTTTTAACATTTTGACGTTCATAAGTGCCACTTGTGGTCTAAACTGAATAAATATTTTTGATTTTGATTTATTTCATTAAGATGACAATAGTTGTAAATTCTATACAACAAAAAATTTTCAACAATATGGAATGACACCACGTAAAGAAATGCTTTTTATAAACTGTGAAAACAACACTGCCATACATTTTATGGAAAGTACCAACATTTCACGACACTTGTAGGAAAGTCAACTGACCAAAACACTATTAATTTCAACGAAAATTATACACACTATTTTAAATCTTATACAATCTTTCGTTACACTTTGTCCAGAATCGTTTTTGCCGTTGTATGTCGAGTTTATTCAACGAAAATGATACAGTTTTTTGAACACAATTTTAAATCGTGTTCCCATAAACAACCTTTGATACGATTTGCCTAGAAACATTTTTGTCGTAAGTACCATTCTTGTACAATACGATTATATGCAAGATTTTAAACTCTTTTTTGGAAAATGCAAATGGGCCTGAATGCGAATGCGACCAAATTTGATACGTTGAAATGCGAATGGGACGGAATGCGATTAGGAATGTCATTTTTGAATTAGTGACGAAACGTGACGGACGGTCTGCGTCAAACCCCTAACGATATCTCACTGAAACCATGGGGATCATTCCCAGAATTTTATTTTTACGATAACAATTTTCCAAACGGACAATCTGAAAATTAATGGAGGAGGTTTATGTTCGGTGGATGTTCTGTGGCTGGAATGATGATGATATACAATTATTTAGAGTCACATATTTGACTCGTTTTAAGATTCAAAACTATTTCCAATGTCCTTGACTGTTTCACAGCCAAGCTGTAGAATCTGAAATTAAATAGATATTTAAATTAACTTAAATACATAATGTAAGTAAACAAATAAAGATACAATTGTAATATAATAAACATTGTACTCAACAATTTATTCGATATCTAGACTAGATTGGCCTGACTACTCAGTCAAAATATTAACACTATTGTTATACATAACAAGTAATATAATTATGTATTACTGTAACAAGTAACTAAATAATAATACGAAATAAACTTATGTAAATACATACAACAAAAGGTTCACAACCTCTTAACATTATTAACAATTCATTCATATATTAAAAAAACGACACAGAATCCAAGCTTTATATCCCACTTTTTGAAAGGGGACACAGAGTTATTAACAAGAAAACACACTCGGGCAAGAGGTAAAAAGATAACAGACTTGTACTTCAACTTTCTCCCAGGACAAACTTGGCCTTCACTGGTTGGGTTTTTATTGGCGGCCAAGCTGTAGATCCTGGCCACACAGGAGTTGCAGCGGTGGCGACGAGAGGTGGGAAGAGTCCCGTATATTTAGCCCCTCGTACTAAGCTAAATATGCTTGTATCACGAGTGGGCTCACCACACTAGTCGAGCGGCGGCGGGGACCGAACCCGCGTTCCCCGGATCACGAGTCGGCCAGTCCGACCCCTTCACCGTTCGGCTATCGTGGCTTCAAGGTATATTGCCTTGTCCGGGCATCGAACAGATGCTAGCTGGCCCAGTTCTCGACGAAGGTTTTGACGTCATCATACACTCCGAAGAACACGAAACCGCCTAGCATGAAGCCGGTAAGACGAGGAGTGGCACCTGAGGAGAAATTACGAATTAATGATGATATGTACAGTCAGCGTCAAAATATAGTCAAAAAGTTCGCAACATGTGTTGGTAAGAACTCAACAACGTCTGAAGCAATTTTACTAATTCTTCTTTTTAATGTTCGTTGAAGTCCAAGGATGGTTTTTACGGCGAGATTTGCAAAATTCAACCCCTAAGGGAGTAAAATGGGGTCCACGCGTACGAAGTCGCGGGCAGCCGCTAATAAGTGAATAAATACGTATTATGTGGAATACCCATGCATGTGTTAGTATGGGTGTGCATCTATGACTTACCTGCAAACAATCCTCTCACTCCTGACTCCGAGTAAATACTGGAAAGCACAGGCTGTATCCTTAACTTCCTGGTGACGGCGTAATCCTCAGCTAGCATATGCGCGTCTTGGTCAGGCCAGTTAACGAGAGAGCATGCAAGAGTATTCTGTGCATGTGAGTACATACAAGTCGCATATGAGCATGAGCATGTGCAGATATTCAAGACTCGTTCGTTCGTTTCAGCCAAATGACGTCCACAGCTGGACAAAGGCTTCCCCCAAGGTTTTCCACAATGAACGGTCCTGCGCTGCCCGCATCCAGGCTCTTCCTGCAACCTTTACCAGATCGTCGGTACACCTAGTAGTCACCACGTTACGTTCTCCAGCCCGTGGTCGCCACTCGAGAACTTTTCTGCCCCAACAGCCATCGTCTCTACGAGCTATGTGCCCCGCCCACTGCCACTTGATATTAGCAATAGACATGTTGACACCACAGTCAATTGACGTACTTTAAAACTGTCAAAACGAAACTCTCCCATAGATTTTGTATGGCACTACAAGCCAGTGACGTCACAATTTTGTCAACTCAAACTACTTTTTTCAATTACAATGCGACCAAAAATCGTAATTTACAGGTAATTTAAAATAAATTAAGTTTTTAAGACCAGAATGAAGGGTCTTTTTAAAACAGTTGTGGTTTCGAATTATTGGGGTTTGGTGTCAAACTGTCTATTCTGCGAGCTATGTCGGTTACTTTGGTTGCTTTGGTTCAAGACTCACCTGCGAACAATCCTCTAACCCCTGACTCCGAGTAAATACTGGAGAGCACCGGGCGTATCCTCAATTTCCTGGTGACGGCGTAATCCTCAGCTAGCATGATACGCGTCTTGGCCAAGTCTAATGGCGTCGTCACGACTCCAGCGAACCCGCCTGCGATAGAACCACACACCGCGCTCTGAAGGGAAACTGGAGTTTAATACGATAGCACAGTGCATTCTGTAGGCCTAAGATGCGCGCCGCGATAAGCGGTTATCACGCCATTTTATCGATTTTCTTCTTCTTCTTTTTTGATGATGTTGGCAATACACGTCGACGTCGACTTGATTTTTGCCATTTTCAAGTTTATAAGTGATACGATTTACAAAATGAGATCAAGTAATGATATAATGAAGGATGATAGATGATACCCCTTCCCACCCTTTGAGTCTCAGTAAAGTTGTGGTGCTTTACTGAGACCTCCTATGGACAACTTGAGAGAACCCGAAGAATCACGATGCACTGTTTTGCTTCACTCGCCCACACTCATGCACGTTCACGAACACTCAATGGTTAATAACCCACCATTATTACACATTAATAGTCGCCTAAACACGAATTTGAGGAAATAAAACAAAACCGCTAACATGACGCTTCAGATTCCCGCCAAGAAGTCCTTTATCGATTTTGTCCATACATTTTGACGTCGATAAAAGTTATCACGGCGCGCATCTTAGGCCTACTGGACATGGAGAGCCAGAATTAATCATGGCGAGAGTCCCATTGGGGAATCTGCTCCCATCTCTTGCAATCACAGAAAAAATCTGCTGTCTTCTGACTGATTGCATGTGTTATTAAATTTTTAGCGTTAAGAGTCGTATTACACTTGAAAATTTCGACGGGTTCATCCAGTGTCTAAGTAGCTCAGTTGGAAGAGCAGTCGCCCGGCAAGCGGAAGGTCGTGGGTTCAATTCCCGCCTTAGGCAGTTCGATTTTTTCAAGTTATTTATAATGATCGCATGTGAATAAAATAAATATGATAGCAATATGGCCTACAGCAGGGCTTCCTGAACTTTTTATACTGCAACGCCCTTGGGGTTTAGCATTTTTTGCGATGCCCTGGGGCGCATTGCGACGCATAGTTTGGGAACCCGTGCCCTAAAGTATACAGGGTGTTAGGTAAACGGTAATAAATGGTATGGTGAAGTCAGAAATTTGATATCATTTTATTTTTTTTAATTTTCATACAAAATAAATTTTATAAAATCCGATTTGTATGAAAATTAAAATAATTAAAATGAAGATATCAATTTTCTGATTTCACCATACCATTTATATGCCCATGTTAACATGGGCTAGTGTCGGCTCATATACCCATTTACCTAACACCCTGTATACAGTCAAGTACATACATGCCAGAAAATCTTTAAATTAAATGGACATTATAATTCATCTTATCATCTAGCATAGTGGTGAGACTGATTTCAGATGGAACAAAGAAAATAAAACGTGATTTTCATTCACAAGATTTGGTTTGGTAACTATTATTTTGGTACTGTCACGACAGTAGAGCAAGGTATGTAATTTTGATTGAAAAGATTAGTTTATTACTAGAATTTAAGCTAATTAATGTAAAAAGTTTTTTGAAAAACATTATAAAAAAATATCAAATCTCCATAAATTACTTTTCACAAGTATGTTATATTATCAAAACAAACTGAAACTTGATTGAAATATACAAAAGACAACATCTCTGTACAAGCGTTACAACATAATTACCTGGAAGCTGGTGATCTGTCCATCGTTGTGGTGCGAGACGAGGGTCTTCAGGAACTCCCAGACGGGCAGCTCGATGAAGCTGAAGGGCAGGTCCCGGGCTACCGTCGAGAAGAAGCCGCGGTACACGCCTCGCCGCAGGCCCTCTGATTTGTAAGCCTGATGTAGGAACAGAGATGGAATTGTGTAAAGCAATCGTTATCATTTGACAGTTCATAACGTACGATTATTCTGTCAAACGCTTTGTTTATCTGACTTTATCGTACGTTATGAACTGTCAAATTATTACGATTGCTATTTAGTAATATTGTTATAAAGTTTTGCAGGGCAATCGAATACCGCACTTAGCCTCATGATTGGGCCATTGTGCGCGATTTGTGGTTTATCTTCCTCAGGAACAGTTTTATGAACACTGCTATAGTTGTAGCGCTTAACTCATGTAATGCCTGAGTGTGAGTGTGAATGTCATGGGTGATTTTTTACGTCAAATGTCAACGAGACTTCAGGCCCCCTAGACAAAACGCACTTTTTGATCGAATCGAAAATCGAATCCGTCAAAACTCCATACAAAAAAGGGACTTTTCGACCACTTTGCGACTGGTTTGCGATTATAATTTGCACTTTGTCCTGGCCCCCTAGACAAAACGCACTTTTTGATCGAATCGAAAATCGAATCCGTCAAAACTCCATACAAAAAAGGGACTTTTCGACCACTTTGCGACTGGTTTGCGATTATAATTTGCACTTTGTCTAGACCCACAGAATTCCTATGCTCTGTCACATCATAATAATTGTTTTGAATTGACTGAATTGAGCACTAGATGTAACGAAATTATGTACTATTGGACTGTCATGGACATTTAGAAAAAAAACTTGCCTCTAATAATATCCTTATACTACTCCTTGTCTGGCTGCCTACATAAGTTTGCTTCCTTTGCTTTGCTATCTCAGTAGGAACTCTGATTACACAGGCCAACTGTAACAAAAAGAAAAATAAATCATAAAATATGAAAAAAGTACTAAATTAACCCTTCATTTGGCAGTGATGCTTTTAAGCAACAACCACTATGAATATTTCTACAGCACCAAATAAGTTTTTTGCAAATCATTCGATTTTGTTACAAAGCTTAGTTCAGCAAAACACTAGTAAATCGGTCGTCGACTGAGTTTTGAGTGATTTCATATCCATATTTCTGTCAGACGCCAAGATGACGCGCAATGAGAATAACAAAGACGGAAGTTTTATGATTTTGTACTATTTTATCATCTCTAATTGTTTTTGTTTTGTCTAAATTTCATTCATAATAAATCAAACTAATCATATAAAGCAATATTTGGCGTAGAAACTGTGTTTTCTAATACATGACATGCTTCCGAACCTCGATGTTGCCTAGAAGCAACAGTGCCAAACATCTAACAAAATAGGTTTAGCTTTTTGTTAATACAAAAGAGTGTCAATACACAATAAATCAATCATGTATTACATGAATTATGTTATAGAGATGGTATAGTAATTACTTTTGATGCAATTATGGACCCTGTCGGGCACAGCATATTAGGAGAGAGGAAGAATTTGCTGTCTGTCTCTGTGTTGTCTGTCTTCACACTTATACCGCTGAACTGATTTAAATGATAAACACATTTTTCTTGCGTTGAAGTCAACAACTATAGCAGATAACAATAACATACCAGTTTCAGAAGCTAAAGAGAAAATAAAAAGCCAACCTTGGCTCGGCATATTGATCGTGAAGTATGATGACATACGTCATCTATCAAATGTTGAAGAAAAAGGTCATTGTTGACTTTGCGAAAATGGCCAAAAAAAAGTTTAATGCATAAAATGTGAAATACGATTGATTTTTTTAAGATTTTCTTTCATATAAAAAAAATAATTCTATATACAGGGTGTTTGGCGCATCGTGTGCCAAAATGATTTGGCGGATAGAATGGGTCATTTCCTATATTTTCAGCCCCCATAACACGTTCCATGTCAGGCGGCTACTTTTATATTAAGTTTTTTAGTAATTTCACCAAAATACCCAAATCGCATCATTTAATTTCGATTTAAAAAAAAAATACTAAGCGTAGCCTCAAAGTAAATATTTTGTTTTGACGTGCATTGATATAGGGTTGCATCAAATCTAAATTTACTGGCAAATATCATCTAGTTTTTTTAAAATTCAGCTTTGAACTTTTCCGAAAAGTTAAAAATGGACTGAACATTTAAGTTTACATGGCTATAAATTTTTTTTTAAAAGAGATAGCGATCTTCGGATTTTATCAAAACTTCTCTAGTCTATCCCCATTCAAACGGTATACTAATCTTGTTTAAATAATAACAACAACTTCACAAATTCCCTAAATTAGTGCATTGACTCTATTCGGACTGATTTGCGAAATTTGTGTTTATAGCCCCTTTTTGTGTGAATAACACGTTAAATACCTACAGGTAAAAAATATTTATCTTATGCAATGTAAAAAACCTTTTCTCTATCGTTTTTCAATGTGGATTTCTTGAAATTAAAGACGAAAATAATTATTTTGATCGTTTATTAATTATTACAAATTTTGTTCAAAATGTCCGCCTCGGCAACGTATACACTAAGTAACGACATCTTCTTCTAATTTAGACTGGCCCTATACAGTGGCCTGCACGTTCCCCAGACCTAACTCCGTTAGATTTTTACGTCTGGGGACGAGGTAATGAACTGGTGTACGTAACGGAAGTTCAAACATTAGAAGAACTACAACAACGAATAGAAAACGCCTTTATAGTAATAAAAAGAGAAATGAGGCTGCATACGACAACAGTCGAAGATGTCGTGAGTGTATACGTTGCCGAGGCGGACATTTTGAACAAAATTTGTAATAATTAATAAACGATCAAAATAATTATTTTCGTCTTTAATTTCAAGAAATCCACATTGAAAAACGATAGAGAAAAGGTTTTTTACATTGCATAAGATAAATATTTTTTACCTGTAGGTATTTAACGTGTTATTCACACAAAAAGGGGCTATAAACACAAATTTCGCAAATCAGTCCGAATAGAGTCAATGCACTAATTTAGGGAATTTGTGAAGTTGTTGTTATTATTTAAACAAGATTAGTATACCGTTTGAATGGGGATAGACTAGAGAAGTTTTGATAATATCCGAAGATCGCTATCTCTTTTAAAAAAATTTTTATAGCCATGTAAACTTAAATGTTCAGTCCATTTTTAACTTTTCGGAAAAGTTCAAAGCTGAATTAAAAAAAAACTAGATGATATTTGCCAGTAAATTTAGATTTGATGCAACCCTATATCAATGCACGTCAAAACAAAATATTTACTTTGAGGCTACGCTTAGTAGTTTTTTTTTAAATCGAAATTAAATGATGCGATTTGGGTATTTTGGTGAAATTACTAAAAAACTTAATATAAAAGTAGCCGCCTGACATGGAACGTGTTATGGAGGCTGAAAATATAGGAAATGACCCATTCTATCCGCCAAATCATTTTGGCACACGATGCGCCAAACACCCTGTATATCTCAATGTTTTATTTAAGTACCCCTATTTGGCAATGTGGTAAATAAGCAACAATCGTTTTTCGCGAAAATACCAACCAAATATTATTTTTACTATTTTTCTTAACTTTATTTGATAGTAACAATTAGGTCTAAATAGATTTTATTGAAAAAATTAAACAATTTGTGTCTTGCCAAATGAAGGGTTAAAAAAAAGTACATGCTGTCAGCCACTTTGGCTCAAGTTGACAACACAACCATAAAATCCAATCTTAACAAAGACATGTTGCGAACTTTTGGCTACTTTGGGTGTTACGAACTATTTGACGCCGACTGTACCAAAAGGGTGCTATCGCCATTTATTTCAATTCGAGGGTAACTAAAGACACTATAAACTAGTTTTATTCACCCTTATGTAGGTAATTTGAAAAATTAATTAAAAATCAACATACCACTTCCCCGATACTGGCTGCCACCATGTGGACTAATGGTGCATACTGCTTATCAATGTGAGGCTGCAATAACTTCTTAGTTGTCTCATATGACACAAAGAACAAGGACGCTGTGGGGATGGAGGTCGATGCCACTGTCAGCAAGCCTAGGGTAGATGAAAAGATTTCATTAAATGTATCAGATATCACTGTAGCAGATGAGACGAAGAAAATTTGCAAGACCTGGAGCGAGATCAAGCACGAAGCTTAAGACCGAACGCGATGGAGGACTGTTGTGGACGTCCTCTGCCCCATCTCGGGGACATAGGACCATAAGTCGTCAGATATCACTAGAAAACTTATATAATTTAGGACTAGATAATTATGCAATATATTAGGTAACTAGCGGCCGCCCGCGACTTCGTACGCGTGGATCCCGTTTCATCCCCTTTAAATTTTTCCTGAATTTTCTTTGCTATAAACCTCACGGAGCCCGAGAACTTTCCTACAAATGCAAAACCATGGAAATCGGTTCGTGCGTTCTGGAGTTATAGCGTCAGGAAGGAAAACCAGACTTATTTTTTGTATAGTAGATTTAGACAAATTCTTGTAGGGTGTGGTGTGGTATATTACACAATGTATGTACTTGTTATTATTACACAATGTAAAACCCTGGTCCTCCTAAATAAATAAAAGAAAGTCGATAAATGTTTTAAGCTAAGTAATTTACCTGCTCTTACCTCGGTACACCCCTCTGAAGCCGCCGGCCTTGTGGAAACCTTGCTCGCTCTGCAGACGAGTCTTTAAGGTGTCCAGCGGATAAAGTGTGACGTCCACAGAAATACCGGCAAGAGCACCGGCCTGAAACAAACAAAGATCAATGTAATTCACACGCTACAAGATTCGGATTGATTTTTAACAAGATAGGTTAGGTTACTTTTTTAACTTTCAATACTCTTTCGGCGCGACTTGCAGCGTATACTTTATTGCTTGTGAAATAGAGCGAATTGAATTGAATCACTATCAACAAATACTCGTTTAATTATGTAGGTAGGTACAGCTAGGTAATTGAAAATGTAACGGATTTGTGCAATGTTAAGAGAGAATACTTTAGAAAACTCACCAGTAAAGGGGCCATGAATGGGCGATTAACATTTTGAGGCTTTACAGGTGATTCCATTGTAATTAATAACTAAATTTAAGTAATTGCTAATAACCTATGATTTGTGCGCGAACTAATTATAGGCGAACAGAAACACCTAACCTCTTTTATCACTCAAGTTATCTCACAATTACGTAACTTAACATTTTATCACGAAATATGACTGAAAAACCATAATTTATTTATACTGGCGGAAATCTCAAATCTCTGCAAGATAAAATCACAGAGATAAAATTCACCCCATGACGCCATATTTGATGAATGAATCAACAGTGTTGCCAGCGACTAATTTTTGACTGCCGTGTTCGGTAGGGGAAATTGCCGTGTTTCTAAGGAATGGATGTCTTCGGCTGCCGTAGCACATAAATTGAATAGTTAATACATTTTTGTTTTTAATTTTTACAATCATTTTAATTAATAAAAAGTCAGCCAAAACTATTTTTTATCGTCATTTTAATAAAATTTAAATCTGTCTGGAAGCAAGTTTCACTTGGATGAGCGTTGTATGGAAGTTTCCTCATCCTGAACTAAATAATAATGGCAGCGGACAAAAGAAGGAACTATTCAAATTCAGTATACACTAGCGCCACCCGCAACTGCTAAGCTAAATTTGTACCTCGTCATGGAACTTTGGCTCCTGAGCAGGGAGACGACAAATGAACCAGCTGGATGCGTGTGCGATAATCAAGAGCGTAGTTTATTAATTATTAACTGCTTATATACACACACCGGCAGATTTAGCGGAACGCAAAAAAAAAGTATGAAAATAAGGAAAATTACTACTGATCTATGAAATATTTATTATACAAAATAAAGAGATAATTAAAATAAAATAAAATAACATATATTTTTTAAATATTTAGTCGTTTTTATTTAATAAAAAATCATCGAAACGAAATTTCAATTTTTCAGTTTTGAACAAAAATTAGAAATTGTGGCCAGATTAAAAATTAGGGTAGCTTATCACTATCCAAATGAATGAATTAATGATGGGTATTTCCCCCTCTTGCTCTGATGATGGTTTCCATTCATCTGAGCATGCTGCAGTTAATGATATGAAGGGTATTTTGGGGCAATGTCTGCCATTCCTCTAGTAACGCGTTTCTCAACACCACCGGTGGTATTCTGAGTTTAACACATCTTTTAAGAAAGTCCAAGACATGCTCTATAGGATTCTTGTCTAGGGATCTTGCCAGCCACTGCATCATGGGTATATCCAAATGGTTTAGATGTGCCTGTACTGAGCGAGCACTGTGAAAACGAACATTATCGTGAATTAAACTAAAGGAGTCCACAATAAATGGAGTAAATGGCACATCATGTTCTTCTAAAATGTTCCTAGTGTACCATTCAGAAGTCGTATTTCCTCCATCACCCACCACTAACTCCGTGCGAGCTCCCAAAAAAATCCTTCCCCACACCAGAATTAAGCTACCTCCATAAACCACGATATTTTCAAAATTAAGACTAAATGTTACGTTCTCTTTGTGTCTCCATATTCGCTATCTTCCATCGATCTGGTTTAAGAGAACTCTGCACTCATAAGTGAAGAGATCATGCCTCCAGTCGTTCAAGACCCAATCACGATATTCACGTGAAAAGTTCAATATGTTTTTTCGGTGCTGTGTCACAAGTTGGAGCTTTCTCGGGTATGCACGACCCTATACCAACTTCAGTAAATCTCCTGTGAACTGTGGGCTCAGTCACTCTTACTCCTCGAGTGTCTTTAAGGTTATTTCTGGCTTGAACAGCAGGTAACCGCGACTTTCTGAAAACTCGAAGTTGTAAAAAACGGTCATCCCGTCGCGAAGTACGCCTTTTTCTGACTTGAACCCTCCTCCTAACGACAGAAATGATCAATCTGTACCGTTGGTTACTGCCATGGGTGGTCGATACTGATCAACGACGTCTTACGGCAGCCGATTTGTATGCATGGCCGTTACTTCTCATTTCATCTGCCTTAATGATTTCTGACGGTGCTAAGCTGGGCATAATAAACCCTTATAAGTAACTGAATGCTTACACAACAAAATTCTCAGAAAAAAACATCTTTCACGTAAAAGAAATCCAAATTAGCAAAAGCTTCATTCAATTCAAAACACTCAACGAAACTGTTGATGGGGTAATTTAAACAAAATAATTAAAAAAATATACTATTGGCAATTATTTTTTTCATATTTAGAATTAAATTAAAAAATAATGTCATAATTAGGCATTTTTTTCCTAAAATAATGATGATATTGATGCTTTTTTTCCGTTCCTCTAAATCTGCCGGTGTGTGTACTAATAAGATGTGCGTCAGTCGTGACGCGCGACCTACTGTGTTTTGTCTAATAAACAAATGCAGTGTACGCTGACGCTACAGAACCAACCTAAGGGGAATCCCAGCCAGATATTGACATTTATATTTTTAAAATTTTTGGCTTTGGCACTTAGCTTTGGTTTCATGCTAAATACGGCCTTTGCAAATTGCCGTAGATTTTGCTACGGTAATAGATTTGCTGCCGTAGGCCGTAGACTTCCCTTAAATTTCGTCCAATTTCCGTAGAACACGGCAATTGCCGTAGCAATGGCAACACTGCACAGATGAGACTATAATCGGATTGCCGTGGCGGGCTTTTTGAGAGTTGGGCGTAGTTAAATTTTCTCGTATTTTATTTTAATAAATAATTGTGTAAAAAGTTGTAAATATCCCAAAAACTGGCGATTATTCCACCGGGATGTCGTCATATGACGACGGAGAAAGTTTCAGAGGTTTTTCAGCCGAAATGGTGGCGAACAAAAAACGCAGGATAGTTCCGCCAGGGAGGGAGGATGCAAGAGAGGAAAGCTCGGACGAATCTTCGAGGATGAAATACCAAATGTACNGTGGTGTAAACGGTTGACAGTGTGGTACCCGAGAGATAGCGCCAGAAACCGAGGTCGCAAGGCTTTAAGATGGGAGGATGAATTGAGGTTGACCGCAGGACCTCTATGGATGAGAGTGGCGGAGGACAGAAGGCAATGGAAGGAGTTGGAGGAGGCCTTTGCCAATAGGCACACCGAAATCTTAGACATTTTGTGAATGTTTTTTTAAGTGAAGAAAGTGTCAAATGTAAAATGTAAAAATGTTTCGGAAATAAAAGGCTTATTATTATTATTATTAGTTTGATATTATTTATTTAATTTGGCAAACAACATAAGTGTTTATTTGTAATTTTGTAACAAGTATTTAAGGGTTGTACCAGTGTTAAGATGTGTTATTATTACATTGTTATAAGAACTGTGTTGCAAAGTAGTCTTGTGTAATTTTCAAGCTAGTAAAGTATTTCAAAGGATTAAATGATTATAAGAATTGTATTAAACAAGATTAGTTATAAGATGCTTTAATGTAAAATTTTGAAATGAAACAGTCCGAGGGCAGACTGTCCGCAGGATGGCCGAGTGTAGGAGTGTGAAACGGAACGCAAGGGAGTGAGTGAGAGGGAACGAATGAGTGAGGGAGTAAGAAAGACGGGATTCGTAGACAAGACGATTTTGCATTAAGACGGTTAAGATTTTCCTATTTTTTGTGGTTTTTATCCTGGAGTAAATACAAATAAAGCTGAAGAAATACAACCTGGATTTCAATTCCTACATAGATGTGTGTAGTTACTCAATATGTTGATTGCTTCCATAATGTATATTTTTGTTGCTTACTGAGTTGATACCTATAACCTAATTACTGAACAGATATCATTCCTACAGCATTTAAAAATTGAAATACATTTCGTTTCAATTATTATTAATGTAGATCCATAGTTCAGCTTGACCAGAGATTTGAATCTCGTCCAATATAATTTTAATCCAATACAATTTTTGAGAGGTTTTGTTTGATCAAACAATTGACCAGATTTTTTTTCCACAGGATGATATTTTTCAGTAACAAAATAGAGCTTTTGGAACTGACATCAAAATAGAACGATTCTTCAAAGGGGCATATCAGATTTAACCTCACGATTCCAACAACCGTCCATTAACCCTTGGCTGAACGGTTTTCCATGCAATTCACTTTAACGATCAGCCTTCCAATCACTGCATTTCGCACGCTTCAGTTACAAATCAGCCTGTCATACCGAATTCCCGAAAACAATTCCAGCTGATTTCGATAAATAGTCGTCCATTTTGTCTGTCTGTCTTCCTGCAGCGTGGCGTGACGGTAGTTAGTAATTTTGCTTGAAACATAAAACTGAAATAGCATTCTGAAATATGGGCACAATGGAGATAGGTTTAGTAGAAAACCTTTGTGGAAAGAAATACATTTTTTTTTTATGTGACAGGAGGCAAACGAGCAGACGGATCACCTGATGGTAAGTGATTACCATCGCCCATAGACACCCGCATAAATTTCTTGTAGAGTCTACGGCGCTCCCACGCCTAAACTATTGATTTCACAAAAAGGTTATGTAGACATCAAAAATAGGAAATTTTCTCTAGTTTTAATTTTCCTAAGGATGTTTTATCAAAAAAATAATCCGAAAGGATTTATTTGAAAAAAACTGCTACTAGGTAGCATTTTTCCAATATGGTGGCGCCCGCGGCGACGATAGGAGGTCGCAAAGTTAAAATTCGTAAAGAGCACATCGAAATCTATACGTAAATACAAATTTTCATTAGTGACTCCCGGAAAACTTTCCAGGTAACCATATTATTTTGTACCATATGACTGGACTATAAATAGAATACAGTTTTTTTGGTGGCCAGTATTGCGCAATAAATGAGACATGCGCGAGCGACCGCAGAAATATGTAAAAAGAAATAGAAATCTACGTTATTAACGATTTGATCAGTGGGTCTAGACAAAGTGCAAATTATAATCGCAAACCAGTCGAAAAGTGGTTGAAAAGCCCCTTTTTTGTATGGAGTTTTGACGGATTCGATTTTCGATTCGATCAAAAAGTGCGTTTTGCCTAGGGGGGCTGATAGAGATTGTTCTCACACTTTTGACAGTAAAGTGTCAAACAAGAGCCTCTACAATACAAATAAACAATCTAAATAAATAAAATAAAATAAAAAAGTATTTATTTCAGATAACAGGGATCCATAAATGTTAGTAAAACTTAGGCTATGTTAGTATCTTATTTCTAAAACAGACCTCGTCCTGCTGAGCATGTGGATGTGGCCGATCAGTGGACAATTCCCACTATCGGCTATCTCCTTCAGTGCGTTGTGGCAGCTGCTCCTATCAACTTTTTTAATAGTGATCCTACTGAATTGACTTGAATTGTGCCATT